GTCTTGTGCTTGGTGTTGTTGCACCAATAGCAGCTGCCGTAGCGGCCGTGGACCTTGTACTCCGCCTCGGTCAAGCCAAACTTGACCCATGGAAACTGTCCTAGCTGTCCATTTCCGGCCTGCGATGCGGATTTCGCCTTCCCATTGTTACGGGACTTGTTGGTGCTTCGCGGCTGGACAGCGGCCACCTGATCTCCGTCACTTGATACTGGAGTGGCTGCTGGGTTATCTCCACTGTCCTGCTGGACTGCAGCGAAGTGCTGCTGTCGCGGACCAATTCGTGCCTTCTCCACATAGGTCGTCTGCCATGTTGATTGCTCGTGTGCAGCTGACCTGTTGGTCTTGATGATCTCCCTTGCTTTGCCAATGATCTCCGCGAAGGTTGAGTACTGCTCGCGATCACCAAGAGCCTGGCTCAATGCCGCACAGGACCTGTTGTAGAACTCACGGCGTAGATGCTYGAATGGTAGGTTCAGATTGGGCACAGCCGCAATCTTCTGCCACTCCGTGAGCCAGTCCCGTGTTGCTGTGTTGCCCTGTGACATGGTGAACAAACGGTTGATGGCGAGTGTCGGCGCGTCGTCGTCGACGATGAACCGCTTCTTCCACAGCCGTGTTAGTTCCTCCCATGTGATTACGTCCTTCAAGTCTGGTACGTCGACGCCGTGGGAGGTTGCCAGGTGGCTCAACCAGGTCTGGCATCCGCCCTTCGAGTTCAGGAACAGGGCGCCGATGTACGCATGCTTGGCTACTGGCAGAATCCTGAGTTGCGTTGCGAATGCTTCCCACCAGAGGACGGGATCCTGCTGCGTGTAGTCGTCGAACCTCTCCAGGTTGAAAGTTGGCATCTTGTACATCTTCGGATTGTCGTCCGCGTTCGTCGACTGCAGCTTCTGGACCTCGGTCTTCAATGTATGCAGTTGACTGCTGATGGTGGTGGTCGGCGCAGCGAAGGTGCTGATGTCGCCGAGCATTGCCACTACCTGGTCAACGCGGTCCTCCAGTTGGCGGCTCGAGGGTGCACTGCTGGAAGCCCCAGCAGTTGGTCCTGGTACAGCCTGTTCCAGGTCCAGCAATCGGGCATTGAGTGCCCGGGTTGCATCCTCATGGCTCTGCACCATGCGGCGGAGCTGTACCAACTCCTGATGCTGTTGCGTCAGGTCCCGGTGCTGTCTCTCCAACTCTGACCTTTGGTAGTTGCAAGCATACAACAACCGCGTCACGAGTTTGGAGAGGAACTCCTTGTGCTTTTCTTCCGGCGTTGCGTCGTCGCCGTTTGGTTGAAAATGCCAGTACTTGAGTCTGTCGATGTTGTTGGCTTCATGCCGCTACAGCAGATCCTGGGCTTCCTTTCGGCGAGCCTGGGCATCTGCTTCTGCATCGGCCTGTAACCGCAGTTTCTCTGTTGCTGCTGCCTCTTCAGCTTGTATGCGGGCAGCCTCGACTGCTAGCAGGCGTTCCTCAGCCTCTATCTGAGCCAGGCAACGCTGCTTGTAGGCGGCAATGGTCTCATTGGCCAGTTGGCCTGGCAGGCCCGTCATGTTGTTGACGTGGCAATGCTGCTTACGTGTCACTGCTGATGTGGCACTGCGTCTGACGTGGTACTGCTGACGTGGCACTGTGTTGAACGTCACTGCTGACGTGGCACTGTGTCTAACGTGGCACTGTATCTAACGTGGCACTGCTTACGTGGCACTATGTCTGACGTGGCAATGTGACCTGGCACTGCGGACGTGGCACTGCTGATCTGGCACTGCGGACGTGGCACTGCTGATCTGGCACTGCAGACGTGGCACTGCTGATCTGGCACTGCTGACGTGGTACTGTGACTTGGCACTGTGACGTGGCACTGCTGACATGGCACAGCTGATCTGCACTGCTGACGTGGCACTGTACCGAAACGGGATGCATGCAAGGGGTGGGTGGGAGGGAAACGGAGGGAGGTAACCA